TTCTTCCTTTTGCAACTGTGCATAATGCATAATAATACGAGAGAGAGAAAGATCCCTTGCCATTCAAAATAAGTGAATTATCTTTTGGGGGCCCATTCTCTGCTCCAACAGATGGACAACAAATCATGAAGGGTCGCTGAGATTACTAGTTGAAGGGCTGCAGGATCATAGAGAAGTGGAAGCCATAATATTATATAAAACCTGATGTTCAAGGAAAGACTAATTGTTATATGTGGACCAACGTGTTTGGATCAAACATCAGCACATTCATGGATTTGAACACCAGTCATTTCAGACAATTCCTGTTCCTATGTTTCTTATCTGTCTTTGATTAATGGCTTGAGACTCCTCTTCTCTAGCCTAGGCTCTCCTATAGTAAATACAGTGCACGTATTTTAAGACACACGGAAGTATTATGTATAGCTATATATGCATAGGTTCATTACATTGTTATAGCCTGGTTTTATGTGTATGTTCCTGTTTAACTTGCTTTAATTTATGATTCCCATCTTATATTGTCATTTCAGACTACAGGTCAATGCCTCCTACTCCTCCACTCTCGTTCAGGAAAAGAAACAGAGACCTGTGCACATAGGGATATGTCTGATTCTAGTACATGCTTTTTATATCCCTTTGTGTCCAAATCACTGCCAGTTATGATTACGTGTCCTAAGAAACAGCAGTAAGGCTGACAGGAGGTATGGCTCCCTAGAAAGTTTTTTGATTAGCTCAGTTGTTCTTTTAGAGTCACATGAGACCTAACATGTCTATGTGAGCACAGATCAGATTTTCAGTTCATATTTAGAAGTGAGGTTTTTCAACATGTCTTGGCTTGTCTGAGCTAGCACGGGTTTACGAGTGAGCCAGGCAACGAAGGGAATCTATTGCCCAGACTAAACATGGGGTGTATAAGCAAAATTATATCACTTTTTGAAACAGATGGAATTCTCCAGTACTAGTTCACTCTAAAATGATGAGGATTGTGATCTTTGCCCCTTGGTACTCATTTATATGGGTTAATCTATTTTTGATGTTTCCTTCTTTCTGGTACAGCTTGGGGCAAGATACTAGTTTGCCTATGTAATCATAAAAAGAAACAGAAGACTGCCTGAAAACCCCCCAGAAACAGATAAATCACAAGAAACACCAAGAGACAGAGAGTGCACATCACCCTCCAGATTAGAGATTCGCCTCCCACCGAATAGAAATCCGTCTATTTCAAAATGTGATGTAACTATGCTCACATACCAAATGTGAGAAGCAGATCACAGGGCACATCTACACAAGATGATTTACTGTGCAGTACACTAATCTACTCTGCAGTAAGGCATCACCATCTACACGTGTGCAGCATTCACTGCACAATAAATTAGCCTTCTGTGCAGTAGTGCATGTGTAGACAGCTGACTGGGAGCAAATTGCTTCCGGTCAACCAAGGCAGCAGGGGGTGGGGGAACTGTTGCCTCCCCCTGGGCAGATGCCTCCCATCTGGGGGAGGGAACAGTTTCCCAGCCCTGTGTTCTAATCTACTGATTTGGGCACAGGGTTGGGAAGCAGCTGCCCAGGGGGTGGACAGCTCCCCACATCCCCTGGAGTTCAGGTCTGAACCTGGTGCCCCCTGCCAGCACAGGGATGGCACCCGGGGAGTCTGAAGCTCCCCCTGGCTGCCGGGGGGTGGGGAGGAGAGGGACAGAGAAGGGCAGGAGTAGCATGAACTAAACTGCTCCCGTTGGGTGCAAATTTGCTCCTCATGGGCACACCTGTTGACACACTCCCAGGGAAAACTTACTGCACAGTATTTTACTGCACAGTAAGCTTACAGTGCCTTAACAGCACGTTTCGATGCACCCACAGAGTCCTCCTTCTTAGTCTGACTCATTGGGTCAAACTCTCTTGGGTGGGTTACCTGCATTGCATATCTCAGCATAGGAAAGTACAGCCTCCATGAGGCAGGGGTATATAATGGGCAGGGCTGGGAAATGATTGCTGTCTTGACTTTTTCCTCACTCCTCTCAACACAACCACCACCAAGACTGGAACAGGTCATCATCTGCCACTGCTGGTTCAATATTTCTGCATATTCCCCCTTGGAGTAAGGGGGCAGTCATAATTCCCTTTCTGGGCTGCTCCTGGGAATGTGCAGCTGTATGTCATGCCTTTAATGAGGGCACATTTTACAGTCCTAAACTATAAAACTTGGGATGAATTATTATAGCCTTTTGATAATATCTGAGTGCAACACTATGGGATGGAAATAATTCTTACTGCAGAGTCAGACAGTAGCTTATACACAACCAATGGATCCAACCAACCAATAACTGAAATAGAAGGTTGCTTAACTCAGCCTCAAAGATACAAACACTGACTTTTTGTCTAAGAAATATTGTTATGTGAATTCTTCAGGCAGAATCTGTCAAATACTTGTATACATTTTCTTTGACTGTCTTTTATTCACCAGAATATTAGTGGTTAGGAGACGGAGAGTGGGTTGACACATTTGCTGGCATATGTCAAGGAACCCAGTGAAGTGAAAGGCATGTCAATCATGAACTTTTCTGCTTTAGTAAGTTGCAGGCAGAAGTGACTGCCACAGTAGCTTAATGGTCCTAAATTTATCCACACCCACTGGCTTCACATTGTGGTTTCAGACTTGCCAGGATTCTTTAGCCTTTCTCTTCAAGCAAGCCACAAATTCAGAGAAATGAGTGGGTGATCATGCTATGTTAAAGGGACACGAAGGGCATAGGAAATGTATCTAGCAGGGTACTATTTACATCTAAGAAAGCATTAGTAATCATAGGAATTTACATGGCCCTTACAGGTAGGAGGATCTCAAAAAGCTTTATAGATTGACTAAGAATAATTGAAACACGAGGGATGAAGTTCAGAGGCTGTTTAACAGTGTATAGAAACTCTCCATAGCAATTTGAAAGAGGTAAAGAATACTTTGTCCAGTTTTCATAGAGGGATTTTTCTGGGAGTGAGCAACATGATTCTAAAACGAGATAGCTGAAGTGTAACAGTATTTACAAAACCCAGATGTCCCCCCACCCCCCTGGCTGAATTTAAAGGGGGTAGACTGATTATGAGGTAGACGGACAACTTTTTGAAGATCTCACCTCAAACCTGGGACAATCACACAATATATAGCATATCCCACACTTGGATGGGCAAGTGCAGCCTACTCATTCCCAAACCACTATCACACCTCAATCAAATCACCCTCAAAATAACAGGAGATGGTGCAGGCATGACAACACAATGCCTAAAATATTATTGCTGCCTGCATATTGTATACAACTACCAGATTGAGACAAAGTATAGGGGAAAGTAAATACACCTGACATGCCTTTGATATCAACTACATGGCTGAAAACTCTGTCCTTATAGATTATTGTAGGTTTAGGATAGGGCAGGTTATTGTATTATAAACATTCCTAAATTATTTGGGAGGGGAAGTCATACTGAGCTGTCCACTGACTTCTAGCTGTCAGTACAGAAAAATATGGTCCTTGCAATTTATTTGATGTTTGAGACAAAACAACGTTATTCATAACACTGAATGAAACTTTGCATTATCCTGTGATCAGTGCAACCCTGCCCAAATTGCCAGATAACATAAATCTCCTGTTGTGAAACATCATCATGTACTTTAGATCTTGTACCTCCAGTGATTAATGAACTAGCTGCTTGCATACTGGATGGTGAGTCTAAATATTGATGATCACTGGATGATGTAAATTGCAGTTAGTGATGTATCCTTTGTTAGAAGGCAGGGTGGATATCCACCTTCATAGGTTAGCTGAAGAAGGTACATAGATAGAGCATAAGATTTCATGAATTCAAGTTTACAGATACGTTGTTGATGATGCTATAGGCAGTTTAAGGGTATATGAATTCAGTAGCATACAGGGACATTTATGTACATTCCTGCATGTGTGAAAGCTAATATAATCTGTGCTGCTACAAGATATTTGATTTTGCAATCCTCGAACTCCCTGTAGGAGTTGTGATTCTCCATAGAAGGCGGATTGTGCCCAAGCATACATATTGGGACCAGGTGGGTAGGAACCCACAGCTATATCACACTCCTGGTGGATGGAAATCTCTGGATGAAAAGAAAGAGCAGTATACTATGTGAACCAGGCTACCTTAATGAGACTCCATGGCCATGGGCACAGGAATGGATCAACACATGCCAAGTTGAGCTGCCTTATCTGCCTTATCTAAAAAAAAACCTGAACACAGTATGTGGCTCCTAGAAGGGATGTGGCCCCAACTCAGCAGTGGAAAATTTACCCTTGGGTGAATCAGAGGCAACTTTCTCGTGCTTTCAAGTTCTCACCTTACAGTGCACTGTCTATTCTTTTGCACACTTTCAAATGCCCAGCTTGCCTGAGTGCAGTTGTGACAGTGCAGTTACTCCAGGCTTATGCCATGAGCATCACCTCTCTGTTTGTGTGCCCGTGGCCTATGACATGCTTACTTTAAAGAGCTATTTCCCTTTTTCCCACACAGAGAAAGCAGACTCAGGCCTTTATTTAGCTTGGAGGATAACTTCCACAGAACTATATTTGTGTGGAATGAATGCAATGTATTTAGAGGATCAGAATACATGTTTAAGAAGTAAGAGACCACAATTTGCCTTCAGCGTTATGGTCCTGACCACAAGGCTTCCCCTTGTTCCTTCTATCTGAAAAGTTATTCTCAAAAATGTAGTCCTCATTTATTTTTCTTTTCCTTATTTTCTGAGAGAAGAAAATATAAATAAGCTCCAAAGGACATCTTGCTACCGAGTTCTTTCTCAGTTTCACTTCTCTTTACTTATGTATTCATTAAAGAAAATCTCATCAGAAATAAATGTTATGAGATTAGCAGAATGACCACCAGAGTTCAGATACTAAATAATTTTTAAAGAATTGGTTCAATGACATGAAGGAAGTTGTAGTTTAAACACCAGGATAAATTATTTTGTTAAATATTATTTAAAAGTTACTGACCTGAAATAAAACCAGAACTATCCCTTTCTTCCAAAATTCAAACAAATTTTGGTATTCTATCCCCATTTGTGAATTTTACTGGGTCTCCTCTGTTTGTTTTTCAGATAAGAACAGTTTCTGTTTCATATTTGTATGGCAAGCTGTTTCTAAAAAGAAAAGATCTTAAGGTTGGAGTTGTTATTTACTTTCCCTTCTAATCTTATGAGAAGATTTCTGTAAGAAAAGCAAGTAGATTTGAGTCTAGGATTTTCTGTCTACATAGAAAGCATGAATATCAGCCAAGGATCTTTCAATTTACCAGAAAGAAAACAATTAGTTTTACATGCCAGATTAATAGAAAGAACTTTAAGAACTTCACTCAGATTTCTGTAAGGTTATTAAGGACAAGGACAATAGAACTTAGTTTGAAAGAAAATTCAGAGTTTACCAACTAAGTTGCCTGATAGAGCTTGTTTGTCTTTTCAACTGTTTGGATGGAGGATATAGAACTGGGAGGAACCTCATGGGTCATCAAGTCCTCTTGTGAGCATGTCATACAAAATGATCAAGCATATTTGGGGGAGCAGCAATTCTGATGGTGCTAAAGCTATTAAAGCATAGCTCTGGGTGTCAGAAGCATGTCATGCATTTCCATTTCCACTGTGTGACCTTGAGCAAATAGTTAACCCTGCTATAAAAGGCAGACCAGAGAACACACCTAGCACCATAATGCACTATATGTCAAGTGCCCCGAGATCCTCAAATGTTGTCCACAATAATTTCATGGGAACACAGGACTGGAAAGGACCTCCTGTGTCTTGGAGTCCTCCGTGCCCTTCTCTTGTAGGCAGCTACCTCACATAACCCCTTTTGTAAACCCTGATCAAGCTTCATCTTGAAGCTAATTAGGTTATTTTTTTTGCCCCCATGATAACCCTCTTTCTGGAAGGCTGTCCCAGAGGCAGCTCTGCTACCTTCCAGCCTCAATCTATTCCTGGTCAGTTTGTACCAGTTAGGGATTTTTCTCCCCCTCTTCCTTTATGATGATTTCATTTGAGGGGAAAAGAAAGGTCTTATTTTTGGAATCCGTTGTCCAAAGCTTGGGCTTTTCTCTGAACCCACGGGGGAAAAGTGCCAACAAGGCTGGAGGCGAGAGTCAGACACTGTGAAAAAGCCCAAGGAAGAAAAGCCCCTTTCTTACACAGACGCGGGCTTTCCAATCTCCGCACAAGCAGCTTTGTATCCCTAACTATCCCAGAGCCCAGCAGCACCGGGGGCAAGGGCAAATCCTGCCATAGCGGCTTGCGGGGGCGCGTCCTCTGAGGAGAGCCGGGCGCAGGCAGAGCCCCGAGGCGCGGGAGGGATGGCGATTTCGTTAGTGGAGGGATGGAGATGTCGCCGGCGGCTCCCGGAGGGCTCTGGGCTGCGGCCGCCTCCCCTGCAGCACCCCTCGGGCTCA